CCTCCTCTCTTTTGTTTCTGTTTTTTTGAGACAGGGTTTCTCTGTATCCCTGGATGTTCTGGATGGAACTCACTTTGTAGATCAGGCTGGCTTAAAACAGAGATCCACCTGACTCTGCCTCCTGAGTGCTGGGATTAAAGGTACCCAGTGATTTGTTTTTCTTATATAAGATCTTATAGCCTGCAAAGCTTGAAATATTTATTCTCTGACCCTTGATGAACAGTGTTTGGCAGGAAAAATGTTTGCTGACTCCTGCTGTAAATAGTTTCTTAATGGAAAGATCCTCCTATCCATCCTTTGTTATAATGAACATGGATATTGATAGAAAATATTTAATTCAAATAACAAGTTTAAGTTATTTTTAATTTAAGTATATAGTTTATTCTAGGAATATTTTATAATTGCATAACAAACATAATGCACACGAACTAAGTAGAAACAATTCCTTAACTCATGAAACTGGTATTGATAAACTCTCCAGACTGCTACTTGTAGAACAATTAAAGAGAGAAGCCCTCTTTGTAAATGAAGTTGGGTGGCCCTTGTCATTGTCTTCTACTTGGCTTGGAAGAACCAAGGATTCTAATGTTTTTTGACTGAATGGATGAATGAAATGGAATACCCTTTCAGGGACAGCTTTAATAAGTGGAAATTATTAATATTGAATCTCTTAGGATATGTATTTGTTGCTCACAGCTAGAGTGGCTCAAATATTACCATAAATAATTCTTTAACTTCAAAAAGTAGTAAATTATCCTGTGCTTTTGCTTTTAAAAGCTAATCATTTGATTATTGAAGTAACTATCATATTTAAATCACTTTGAATTAGAACTTAAGTATCAGGCTTTAAAAGTGTGATATTAGGCTACAGTAGTTTGTTTGGGGACACTGAGTCATAGTCCTCTAATGGAAACAGTTTAAGCTACTTATGCACCCAGTGAATGAGTTATGCAAAGAAGTGTGAGTTGCTGTACTTAAGGAATTTTTAGTGTGTTAGAAAAAATGGCTATACATGTTCAAAGTTAGGGAAAATATGAATTGTTGGATTTTTTAAAATATTATTTAGTCTTCCCTCCACATAATTTGCTTTTTCTTTCCTCTGTATGTGTGTGTGAGAGAGAGGTGGGAAGGGAAAAGAGAGAGAGAGAACACAAGCACACACATGCATTTTTTAGACTGAGTCTCAATCCAGGCTGTCTTTAAACTTGCTATGTAGATGAGCATACACTTGAACCTGTCCTTATCTTCCTGCCTCCACTCCCCAAGTGCTGGATTACAGATGTGTGCCACCACACCTGGCTTAAATATTTATTTTGTTCATAATAAATATGTTCTTTTTGGTCTGCCTTGGGGGTTCAGTCCATAGTCTCCTTTTCCTGTGTGTGAATCACACAGTAGCAGAGCAACTTGATGAATTCAGACAAAATATCATTCTCTAATTTGCTTGCCATTTTCTCTGTGATCCTGCTGTTAGATATTTCAGTATATGTAACATCAAACAATGCTGTTTTTTTTTTTACCACCCTGTTGACAGTGAAATTAATTTGTATTTCCTAGTTTTTCCTTTTCTAAAATATTTCTTGGCCTTGCTCATTTTATTTTTCAGGTAAGTAGGCATACTGCTTGCAGGGAAAATTTAGAGACAGCGATGATGCTTCAGCAGTTGAGGCTTTAGTATGTTAGATACACTTGGGGTTGCTCATCACAGCTTTGTGCAAGGAATATGGAAAGACTGGCAGCTGGCCTTCCTCTCAAAATCAAAACTTCTACTCCTCTACTCTTTCAAAGAATTTAGGTGTATCCTTATACAACAGGACAAGAGAGGAACTAGAAGTTATTAATAAAAACACATGGAAATTTTTCTAAATACTCTTGGTTGCTTGCTTTCTAAGAACAGTGTTGGACATTATAGAATTGAGGAGACTTTTTTGAGCAGGTGACTACTGTCCCATCTACACATGTCCCCTGTATTATTCTTTAATGATACTCTGCTTTTGCTGCTATGGATCTTGGATTTTCTTGCCTTCTGTTGAAGTAAAGGTAGTTTCTAGAAGGCAAGAGGAAGCCATTTTTACAGAGCTTGGTCATAACTTATTGATATGTATAGGTCATAGAGTTGACAATTTTTGTGAAACACGTGTTTTACCTATTGGCCTTTAATATATTAGATGAGAGCTAATGGTTTTGAATTTTATTTTGTAGTGTCCTGATAAAAATTCTGTAAACTTAAAGAGCATAGGCAAAAAAGCAACCATTCCATGTAAAAATAAACCTAACTATGTTAGTAGGAGAAATAGCTAACGAGAACTTCAGAGCTGCCCAATTTTATTAATCTGATTGCTTCAATCCTTCTGAGTCCAAAGATTTTAGAGAAAGGCCATGAAGTAGCAGCTTCTTCATGGGTCAAGGGGTATTCTAATCCCCTGTCATTGCTATTATCCAGATCATATCTTGTGTTTTCTTTCAGCATTGAAAGGTAATAATTTTGATAGCAGCAACTCCTTTTTGTAATTGGATAAATGCTTATTTAAAGCTTTTGTTCTGCTGTCATATCACTTTCCTATTTTCAAATATGATTTTCTCAGATCTTTTAAGTAGTAGAAGATCACTTGAAATAATTATTCTTTAGTAGTACATAGGAACAAGACATGACTGTCTTAATTTCAGTCTTATTTTTTTCCTTGTTTCAGTCTTATTTTTTTCCTTGCTTAACTACTGTCTTCTTAAGGCATTTATCTTGAGTTCATAGATGCATAATTATTTCAGTTCACTTTAAAAGTCAACAAGCAAAACATATTTTACATGAAAGTATCTATGGCTTATACTTTTCTGAATTAATGGTATAAAATTGGCAGTATCTAAATCTACATAGTTAAAAATTTTTTAGTTATGAACTTTTGTTAGTATAGCTACTATATAACATTTTGAGAACTTGTTTATTGATGCCAAATTCTCTCATCTTAAAATGTAAAATTTTGAAATCAAAATAGTTGTAAAACTGTAGGGAAGTGTTTCCTTTTTGTTTGAAAATAATTATATGAAAGATGTGTTTGTGTGTATGTGAAGGTCTGTAAGTTAAATACTAAGGTATTTGTGGAAATTGATTTATTTTATATACTTCTGTATTTTTTTTTTGAAAGGCAGTCAGGAAAAAAAGGTGGACTTAAAAGAAATCAGTAGTAAATATTAAATGAAATTAATGTTGAAAAGTATTCCTTCAAAATGGAGTTTCCTAAGCCTTGAGAGCCATTTTAATGAATTATTTTAGAGTTCTACATAATGTATCCATCTAGGACAAAATGATTTAATGGGTCCTAGCAGTCTAATAGTCTAGTAAATTCAGCAGCATTATAGAAGAGAAATAGTGTAATTGAGTAAAAAGTCTGAATATGGAAAACTAATCTGTACCTATAGTTACCTTCATTTCTCAATATGTTAATTAATTAATGTGATCACTACAGAAACCAAAAAACAATTGAGTGCAAATATCATGATATAATTTGCATTCCATTTTCTCTGAGTATAAGTTGTTAGATATTGCAACATATGTAACGTAAACCACAAGTCAGCTGTTTCCTGCTTCACTGTTGACAAGGGCTCCATTCATAACTCTTCTTTTACCCTTTCAGTGAATAAGTAATTATTCAATATAGAAGGCAGGATATTTGGAACTGGCTATTTAATGTGGCAGCACTCTGTAATGAAATCTGCTGTTACTGGCAACCTGAGAGGGGAATGTAACAATTCCAGCATGACTGTAACTTTATCTGCTTTGACTGAATGTTTATTTGGCACATCAGTGAACCTTTTATCCCAGTGAGTGACAGCTCCAGAAGGGTCACATTTACATCCATTCTATCATGTATTGTAATATTTAATGGTAGACAAGGTTGAGCGAGACTAGGAGTAATTTGAACTTGCTTTTCCACTGAGCAGAGGCTAAAAGACAGCTTGATCTCCAGTATTGTGGTGTAACATACTATGACTTATCATTTGTTTATGAAGGCTAATCTTACTGATTACAATTTTTAATGCAGTGAGTAGAGTATGTGTTCTACAAAACTGAATATTTCCAGTGTGAATTCTTTTAAATGAGTGTACTGCTTGCTTTTTTCCCTATCAGCGATTGTTTCCCAGCATTTCTCTTAAATGAAGCTTCATTCTGTCTCATTTAAGGGAGGAATTGAAGCTTTGAAGTGGGTATTTGTTAAGAATCTGAGTTCTCATAGCATTCAACTTGCAAAAAATGGGAGGTAGGCAGAATTTGGAAACAGGAATTAAAATCAGGTAAATTTTAGACTACTCTTGAGGCTTCATTGATGTATTTAAAGAGACATTTGCATGATTTCATTTACAATACTGAATTACTAGTGAGCTTGTCCAGGGTGAGTTATTTTGTTAACAGTTTTTCTGGTGGGTTTTCATCTCGCACATGTAGTTGGATTTCAGACATACTCGTTCCATGTAAGCAACCTGTTTTCACTCACTGTTAACTGTTGATATTTTTGCATTCATTTTCATGCCTTTTCTGGAGAAGAATTTTCTTGACTTATTTTGTAGTGGTGCTTAAGATTCAACTTGTTATGTCTATTGTTAACCACATTTCAAGTACTTTTTACAAACAGAATATTTGAACCATGCTGAGAGAAAAACTATCAGTTCTGTAATGTCACAGTGACCCAAGAGAAAGTGAAATGGCCTTCCAATCTGTCATGTCATTTAAAAACTGTAATTTTTATAAAAGAGAAGTGTTAAGATGTACTTTAAACATCTAGAATTAAATGTCAGAAAGAATGTAAATATGGAAGCATTGTTTATAACTTGGAGAAGATAGTGAACTAATTTGTGTATCGTGTGTAGTTTCTTCGGTGATGCCTTTAGAGACTGTACTGTCTGAAAGCTGCTTGGATACTTAGGTATCCAAGAGCTTTGGTTCTGAGAGGTGGCACAGTGTTTGTTGTGGTGGCCCAGACAGTTTCTGTTTTCTTTCCTCGTTTCAGCTCGATGGCCTCTGTTCTAGATGCTGCTGTTCTACTAAACAAGGAAACAGTGAAGAGTCTGCAAATACTGTTAAGAAGGATCATGGGGGACAATTCAAGAGACCCAAAATTTATTTTGGGACACGCACGCACAAGCAGATTGCTCAGATTACTAGAGAGCTCCAAAAGACAGCTTACTCAGGGGTCCCAATGACTATTCTTTCCAGCAGGGATCACACCTGTGTTCATCCTGAAGTAATGGGCAACTTCAACAGGAATGAAAAGTGCATGGAATTGCTGGATGTGAAACAGGTGAGTAGAATGACTTTGATGTAAAGAAAACTAAAGCTGGAACGATTCAAATTTCCTGATACATGTTCTGTATATTTTTTCTAGTGGTCATTAACTAATATGAAAATCAAATTAATTACTAGCTTTGATTATTTCTTGAAAAATATTTTACCATAAGAAAATCTTAATTCACATTTAAACTTGATAGATTTTCGTTTTAAAACTTACAGATATTTAATTCCATGACATTAATTTCTGTTGTATTCAGATGTAATCTTTTTCTTTGAAATCCCTCTAACCAGTAGTTGAACATGAGTGAAGCCAGATGAAGGGATAAAAATGTTTTAAGAATATTATCTAATTACATCTAATCAACATATTTTATATATTTAAAGATCTTCAAAATAAAATAGTTCAAACTGAGCCAATTTTGAATTTTTTAACATTGAAATACATGATTGTTCTAATTTATAGTTCTAATTAGTACAGATTTTTTTAAAAAAAAATCATGTAAGATTATTAAGTTTAAAACTATGTTACACATGGCTTTAAATTTTTCTAGAGTAATTGGAGTGGTATGAATTTTTAGGATGGGTAAAATGATCAAAGAGATGCTTTTGTAAATGCCATTTTAATAATGGGCAATATTATTTTGGGAGTCTGTATTTGGTGTAGCTAATTTGCTTGAAAATTGAAGTTGTAATTATGAGATTGTACACTGAAATAGTCAGTGAGTCAGTATATAAAGTGAGCAATGATAGTATATTTTGGAATTTTTTGTCTATTATTTTATCAGAGTTGATTCTACATAAAAGACTATAAATGACAGTCCCAAGAATTTTGTTTCATTGATGGATCGCCTCTTACCATATATTATGAATAAATTATGTTTTATTGGTTTTTCTTGCTTAGTTTTTTTTTTTTTATTTTATTTTAACCAGGGGAGAGCTTACTTTGTCTTTTTTTTTCTCATGCCTACTCAAGACATATTTTAATAGCTGTTTAGCTTTATGTAATAGGAGAGTCTTTACAGTGTAAGTAAGGGGTTCAGTGGACAAGCTTGAGTAATTTGTTTTAAGGGTACTCAAGAAAAGATTTTTGTGGTAAAACTACAGATACCATGTTTAAGTAAACCTTTTTCCATGAGTTACTAACTGCTCTGCTAAACTCAAGTGTTGGCTGCTATTGTCATCACATAATCTTAAAATATTTTTTTCACTTGTTCTTGGCAAAATTATTATACATTTGTAGGAAGTATATGTCAAAATGTGTTGGTGAAAGCAACAAGAAAAATTAAGGAAAATAGTCTTATTTTGTATAACATTCTAGAATCCTACAGTACTGGTTGTGTTTGATCTTTATTCTCAGAAGTTTGAAATATATAATTTAATTTAGTAGACTTCGGCGCTCAGAACTTTCCATTGGCTTGAAATGAAGAACTGTTTTGTTTTTGAATATTAGTGCTATGAGTAAGCAAAGATTGCTGCTTCTAGCATGCTGTGTCCTAGCTCTGTGTCAGAGTGCTTACCTCCTGGGTGTACATGAGTGCTTTTTCTTGTTCCCAAGCCCTCAGAGTAATTTGGTATTGTAATGAGGACCAATTACAAAGTCACCATAGGTGTCTGTGTTTACTGTGGCTGATTTACCAAAGAGAAATGATCAATAGATACTGACAGTGAGTGAGAAGAGTTTGAAGTGTGATAACACTGCAGCTGACAGACTCCTTTCTGGGTTCTGTTACATGGCTAAAAGGGATGAGCTTTTGGCTTCACTATCAGCCTGCATAGAGCTGTCGTTCTAAGAGCCCTTGAAGTGTAAACTTTCCGATTATTTGGCTTGATCTGTAGGTACAGGTGTTTTTGTTCACGGTTTCTTTTAAAATGCCCGCCATACTGGAAAGGTAGTCTGTTAAAATTATTTTTGTTGTTGTTGTTGTTTCAATTAAGAAAAGAAAATTAAAGGTGAGCCTGGAATGGCACTTCTTTTAAAAGTTTTAGATATAGACTAACTTGTTCTTTAAAAATTCAAATGAAGCAGCTGAGGTTGCTCAGAAGTTAGAACGGGAGCTGCCCTATAGAAGATCAGGGTTCAGTTTCCAACACCACACGGCAGCTCACAACCATCTGTAACTCCAGTTCCAGATCTGACACCCTCCTTGGGTACCAGGCATGCATATGGTACACATACACACATGCAGGCAACACACACTTGCATGTAAAATAAAAATGAATAATAATTTTGTAAAGACAATGATCTGGGTATTGTGGTGCACACTAGTAATCCTAGTGCTACGGAGAGTCCTGCAAGATTGCAGACTTAAGAAGAGCCCGCATTCCCTCACCTGGAAAGAAATAAAGTAACACACAGAGTTAACGCAGGTACATGAATAGAAGAGTCATCCAACTCCTTCTGTCCTCTAACCCTTCAAGGAAACCACTGTAAACTTATGTGTGTATTTTGCCAGAAAGTTTAAAAGGAGACATTATGTGCTAGAATATATATGCATATTTATCCTTTAAGGAAGGACACTTAGCACAAACTTAGTCACTTTTACACATTTGGTGACTATTTTTCTCATCATAGAGTCATTAGAGAACCTAACAAATAGCACACTTACTTAAAAGAGTATATAATTTGGCTTGTTTTTAAACAAAGTCTCATTATGTAGCTTTGGCTGGCCTGCAACTCACACTGTAGACCTGGCTGGCCTCAAACTCACAGAGTTCCTCCTGCCTCTGCCTCCTACTGGACCTGGCCTTAAAAGAGTATGTCTTTTTAAAAATTACTTAACATGCCTGCTGTTGGTCATAGAAATTGGGTTTAGTTATAGGTTTTTTTTGTTTTGTTTTGTCGTGAAACTGCCATGTATCAAATTTTTGTCATCAGTAAACATTGATGATTAAAATGAAGAACTCTGATGTTTTGGCAAATTGCCTGTTATTCAAAGCTCCTAGTATTTTTATTACTCAAGGCTTAAACATTTGTTATTTTTTTTTTGTAATGTGACTGTTAGTTTCATACATTTTATTTATTCATTCACTTATTTAATTAACTGATTAATTTAATTGGGAATATTGCTATGGAGCTCAGTAGGCCTTAAACTTACTATCTTCCTGCCTCAGGTTCCCATGTGCTTGGATTATAGGCACCTGCTCCAATGCTGAGCTAATCTTATGCATTTTAGATTTTTTTTTAATGTATGTGGATGTGATGAGCCTGCATCCACCATGTATGAAGGCTGAAGAGGGCATCACATGCCCCATACTGGAGTTAAGGTGGTTGTGAGTTGCCACATGTGTACAATGAACCAAACCCAGGTCTTTTGCAAGAGCAGTAAGTACTCTTTGTCACTGAGACATCTCTCTTGCCCCCATTTTTGTGCAGTGAAAATTGATATGTGACATTCATACTTGGAGTAAGTTTACAGAATTTTAACTTTTTTGTTGATACTTGTAATATATATTTTACTTCCAACAACATACTAGCAAAGACATTAATATTTAACATCAAAGAAATAGAAATTACTAAACCAGCCTGTGGTTGCACATGCCTTTAATTCCAGCACTTGGGAGGCAGAGGCAGGCGAATCTCTGTAAATTCATGGCCAGCCTGATCTGCAAAGTTAAACAGAGAATCCCTGACTCGGAAAAAGAGACAGAGACACAGGGTGGGGGGGGTGAGAAATAAAAATCACTGTGGGCCTTCTGTTGAATGTTCATACAAGGACTGGAGATTGTGACTCAGTGGTAGAGGGTTTACCCTGAGTACATGAGGCCCCAGACTCGGTATCCAGTAACATACACACAAACACACACATACACACACACACACACACACACACACACACACACACACACACACACGAGCGCGCGCATGTACATTCAAAGAAATGTTATAGCTTGATAGACAGAAATTATAGAAAGTACAAATCAAAAACAAGATTTTGTTTTTCACCCTTAAAATAGGCAAAGACGTGGGCTGGGGAGATGGCTCAGCTGGGGTGATTGTCTTGCAGGCATGAGGACAGTCTACATGCCTGGTACAGGGAAATTAGTTCAGTCCTGTCATATTAACTCAGTGAACAGATGTAAGCAACAGTGAAATGAGATTTTCCTGATAGTAGTTTGTTTTTAATCTTAATATTGGGCCATTTTATAGAGATGTAACTTTCTATACCAGCGTATAGAAAAGTGTGAGATACATGAAGATATCAGTAGCATATGTTTTGAATAACATAATTTGGAATTTTGGGGGTACTCTTGTATTTTATGATTTTTTTTTTTGTAGTTATCCATCTTTGTTTTTTCCCTCAAGATAGTCCTTCTTTATTTCCTTCTCCTTCCCTTCTCCCCTTTTCTCCTCCTCTCCCTTTCTTGTTTCTTTCTAATTTCCCCCTATTCCTGTCACCTAATTCTAGTCTAAAAGCAGCAGGAAATGCCATTGCTTTGTTCATCCTTCCAGAAATGTTTCACAGCTAATGGCATGGCTACATCAAACAATATAACAATGTTTTTCTGTTTGTTTTGCATTGGGACTTCTTTCTCATTCTGAGTCAACTACTACAATTTCTTTAAATGCTTTTGAACATAACCTGTAATTCCAGCTACTTGGGAGGGTGAAGCAGGAGGATCACTTGAGCCCAAGAGTTCAAAGTCAATATGCGGAACATAGTGAGATCCCTGTGTCTTGGCAGGAAGATAAGGTTATGATTATAAATATGGAAGTATTTGTTTTCTCTATAAAGTATTAGCTTTTGGGGTTAGTAATCTTTTTTAAGTTCTAAGATAATCTTATTCCTTCTATTCCAAAGTTGGCTCACATTTCAGTTTTGTCTCTTTTCAGGGTAAATCCTGCTATTTTTATCATGGTGTCCATAGAATTAGTAATCAGCAGACATTGCAGTCCTTTCGGGAGATGTCCAAAGCCTGGGACATAGAAGAGCTTGTCAGCCTCGGGAGGAAACTGAAAGCATGTCCCTACTACACAGCTCGGGAACTGATAGATGAGGCTGACATAATATTTTGTCCCTACAACTACCTGTTGGATGCACAAATAAGGGAGAGTGTGAGTATATGTGAAAATTAGGACTATCCCCTACTTATGGGATAAAAGTGATAAATGTAAAGGCTTTTTATCTAAACATCTATTTTATGTCTTTTTTTCCTCTATATTGAATTTATGTACAGCACTGCACACACGTTCTAAGGTGGATTAAGAAGTGACTTTTAAACCCAGTTATTTTCATTTTATTACAATAGTTAAGGCTCTAAGGGACTAAAACGGAACTGTAGTGTGCTCCTTAGGCTTGACCGAGTCATCACATTAGGCTGGAGGAATCTTGGCTGTGATGGCTGTCTCTGCTTTGTGATGTTTAGTGGCTTCCCCGTATCCATCTCTGAGATGCCAATAGAATCTTTATAGAGTTGTCACTGTTAGAGATAGCTCTAGACATTGACCAATGTCCAAATTACCCCTATGGAACAAAATTGTCCCCATTGAAGACCATTATATAACCGTTGTTCTCTCCATTTATGAAGTTAAGAATTATTTAAAAACATTTCTCTGGGGAAAGAAAAATAACTGTTTTGAAGAAGTTATATTAAGAGAATAAGTACTGTGAAGTTGTGCTTTGTGATTTTTTTTTTTAGTAGTCATCTTTAAATTGTATTTATTTGCCTTGTTCTTACAGAGATTGTCATTGCTATAGCCTAAGACAAAGAATAAATGGTTCTCTGTAGCCAGCTACTACTGGCTTTCATTAGGTGTCACTGTACACTTCATTAGTTTTCTGTTTCTTTTCTAGTTTGTTGTTCAGACAGGATTTCATGTAGCCCAGGTTAGCCTGGAACTTGGTAGGTAGCTGAGGATGACCTTGAGCTTCTAGTCCTCTTACCTTTACTGCCCAAGTGTTGGGATTACAGGTGCATGCCACCATAGCCAGCTTTTGTGGTGCTAGGAATCAAACCCAGGGCCTCCTGCATGTGAGGCAAGTACTCTGCTGACTGAGTCATAGCTCCAGCTCCAGCTTTTAAAGTTCAGGATTAATAGGCATTTGAATTTTTATATACTTAATTTTTTAAATTTTATGTATATGAGTTTTTTCCAGAATGTTTGCCTAGATAGCATATGTGTGCGGTGACCACAGAAACCAAAAGAGGGTACTGGACCCCCCCACACACAAACTATAGTTACAGTTTTGAGCCTTCATGTGGGTGTTGGAAATTGAACCCAGGTCCTCTGGTTGAGCAGCCAATGCTCTTAACCACAGAGCCTTCTCTCTAGCTCTAATAAACAAATTTTATTTACTTCCATACTATTACTCTCTGCTGATGTACCTTTTATTGGTTGGCTCTTAATTAGGCATCAGATACAACATCTAATGTTACTTTTATTCTATCATATCCCTAATAGAAAATGTATTCCTCCCTTTGCTCTGACATAGAGTTTATATTTAAGTTCCATTTTCAAGATGCTCAGTAGTCTGACATAGAACTGCCCTTTCAGTCTTTACTAAAACTCCCAATTGGAGCCCTTGAGTACACCTTAGAGCTGCTCAGGGATTCCTGTGTTTCTGCTTTTGATTACACCTGCTGAAATGCTCTGCCTTGCTCCTGTCCACCTCAGAATCCCTGCCTTTTACCCTCAGTCTACTTCTGCTCTTCCATAATTCTTTTTCAACCACTCCCAGACCTGTGTATATTATTACTTTCTCAAAATAATTTATTGGAAGTTACTTTAATAAAATGTCCTTATTTTATTACTCGAGATTTTCAATTGCAAGTTAAACAAACCTAACTTGGAAAGAGCTTAAGAAGAAATAGTCGACTTTCTCTTCATTGTGATGGCTTCATTCTTAGGAAGTCCTTTTCTTGTGGGACCAAGCACAACCGCAAGCAGTTAGCTAATCTGGAGGAAAGAACATGAGCCGGCATGCATCCCTTCCAGTTGCTCTGTTTGGCTCAGCGTAGATGGCATTTCCATTCCTAAATCTGATCCAATTTCTGACCACAGAGGATTGGAATACTTCGGCTGATGAGCCTGGTTCTGAGCTTTATTTTACCCTTACTGTGAGAGACATGATGTCACTGGATCTGCATTTAGTAGTCTTACCAGCATCATGCTAGAGAAGAGCAGTGTTGAAAATAAAGGGTCATAGGTCAGGTAAAAATGAGACACATGTACTGCGCTACTTCATAGCTTTTTGGGACCCGATGACTCTGCATTCTTGTTTCCCTTCTAAAGGTTTACTGTTCTGGGATGGGGTGCAGCTCATCTGTTTGAGTGCTTGCAGAGCGAGCATGAAGCCCTGTGCTCAGATGCAGCACTGTACACAGACTCAGGTGTTTGGTAATCAGTGTTGACATTGCACTGAAAGCCTCTAACTGTACGATTGTATACCCTGTCGCCCGCCGGTGGCACCTTCATCCCTGCACATGTTCTTGAGAGGCTGGTTGCCAAGTGTTCTTAGAGTGGAAATGGTGAGCTCTGTGGTACAGAACTGGTATCTGGTAGAAGTGCTCCTGAAGTTGTTTTAAGTCTTAAGTCTATCAGTTCTTCAATGTAAATTGCACAAGCACTATTGGCCTATAGTGTGAATTTTCAAACGGAATCTTTTGCCTGCTTCCGTTAAATTCATTTTGTCAAATGTTTTAATAGAGAATTGTTTTATCTTACAGATGGATATAAAGCTGAAAGAGCAAGTTGTCATTTTAGATGAAGCTCATAACATTGAAGAGTGTGCTCGGGAATCAGCAAGCTACAGTGTAACAGAAGTTCAACTTAGGTTTGCTCGGGATGAGCTGGACAGTTTGGTCAACAGTAATGTGAGGAAGAAAAACCATGAGCCCCTACGAGATATGTGCTATAACCTCATTAAGTAAGTGTTTGGTCTGTCAGTGCATTTGTATTGTCTTTTTGTATGGTTAGTAAACTTAGGGACTAAAGAGATGACTCGGTGGTTAAGAGTGCTTGCTGTTCTTACAGAGGACCTGAGTTCAGTTTCCAGCACCCACATCCGACCACTCACAATCACCTATAATTCCAACTCCAGGGATCTAATGCCCTCTTCTGGTTTCCTTGGGTACCTGCACACATGTGACATACATTCCTACAGATACATACACAAACGCATAAGTATAAAATTAAATTAGTAAACTTTGACTAACCAGACTATCTGGGAAATGGATTGTTCTTACCAGATTAACTTTTTTTTTTAAAAGCTGGTTAAATTTTCTGTCTTATTCAAAAGACTAATGAAAGTAATTGACTTCTAAAAGGTAATTTAAAGAACCCACTTTTGATTCAGTAGAATAATTAAATGACAGAAATTAATTAAACATTTTAAATTCTGGGTCCTAACTTTTGTTTTAGATTCATTTTATTACTTTATGCGTATGGGTGCTTTGGTTGCATGTATTGTGTAAGTGTACCACATGAGTGCCCACATAGGTCAAAAGAGGGCATTGGATCCCCAGCGGTTAGAGTTACAGATGGCAGTGAACCATCATGTGGGTGCTGGGAATTAAACCTGGTCAAGAACAGGGTCCTAGTTAGAGTTTCTATTTTTACGATACAACATTATGACCCAAAAGCAAGATGGGGAGAAAAAGGTTTACATTATAGTCATCATTGAAGGAAGCCAGGACAGGAATTCAAACAGGGCAGAAAGGTGGAGGCAAGAGCTGATGCTGAGGTCATGGGGCTGCTTACTGGCTTGCTCTTCATGGCTTGCTTAGCCTGCATTCTTATAGAATCCAGGACTAACAGTCCAGGGATGACACCACCCACCCATAATGGGCTGGGCCCTCCCCCCATCAATCACTAAGAAAATACCCTACAGGCTTTCCTGTAGCCTTATTTTATGGAGCCATTTTCTCAAGTTCCCTCCTCTTACATGACTCTAGCTTGTGTTCAGCATAAGCAGCTAATGTTCTCAACTACCTCATGGCTTTATTTATTACATCATCCTTCAATTCAAATATGATTCTAGTTTGATGGGTTTCAATTAATAGGGAGATTTCAGTACTTTAAAAAATAAGTTTAATAAAAATTTTACTAAAATCTACATTAGATAATTTCTCATACTTTGTTCTAGAATAATTTCTGACTACATTTCATTGCATACATTGTGGTATTTTCTGTTTTCTTCATTGTGTACATTGAAAAACTGAAATGTACAGTCATGGTTTGAACATAATCTAATTACTTAGTAAAAACTACCTTTTATCCCATCCCTTATTTGTTTAGTTCTTGTTCTCCTAAGCAAAGTTATTCAGGGCAATATTTTGTTTGTGTGAATCAATATAGATAAATTCTCTTGGTTCTTATTTTCCCAAATGATGGCTTATTATACATGGCGTTTATTGCATTTGACTTTTCATTTTTGAGATGATCTGTCACTGAATTTGGAGCTAATCAATTTGGCTAGCCACTGGGATCTGTGTGTCTCTGCCACTCTAGTTCCAGGGTGGTGGGTGTGTTCTGCCATGATTGCTCTTTGATGGTGCTTAAGGACCAAACTCAGGTTCCCATACGTGTGCAAATCAGCACTTCAACCACTAAGCCATTCTTCCCCCATCCCTTCCTTATATTCTTTGTGTTTGGTTCTGCATTAGTTTCTGGCCACTGTGTGGTCCTTTACTTGTTCCTAAAGTTTTCACAACTTCTGTGTTCAGTTTCTTGACCTCCATGTGGGGTTGTGACCCAGTATGAGAGCTGTGGGATTGGTTATTATCTACAGTACTGCGGAGGCCTAAGTCTGTCTGTAATCCTAACCTCTCCCTGGAGTATGATTCTCATAGTCAGTTATTTTTATATCTCTGTTAATACACTGTATTCCAACTTTAAATCGAGAATACAACTCCTCCATTTCCTCTGCTACTGTCTCCTCACCCTGCACATTCAGTCTTCCACATCCAAACAGAGCCTATCAGTTCCTCACATCAAATTTGTAAATAGTCTTTGACCACTGCTTCACCAAAGCAGCAGCTAGTCATTAAGTCTTCCAGGTGCGACTTGTACAGCATTTCCCAAGTCTATCTGTTTTTTTCACTCTGTGTCTATGGAGATCTAGAATATTGTGATAGCTTCCTAAATATGACTTTTCTTTCTCCTATAATCCATTCTGCCTTGGAAGTTGGAATCATCCTTTAAACACTTAAATGCTCACTATCTTATATAAAACTCTACTTCAAGCTTTGGATATAGCCCACATTTCTTATCCTTGCTGTAAATAATCTGATTCCAGTTTATCCCTGTAACGTTGTTTGTATCGTTATTTATTATTATTGCCCATTGTGATGACCATACTGGTTTTCTTTCAAGCCCTCAAAGGAGCAAAACTTGCTAACTTTGCATCAGCTATTCTTCTGTTTTTCCTTCTGTTTTGAAGCTTTTTTTTTTTTAAACCCCCTGGGACTGGCCACCTTCCTTCATTCCGCTGTTAGAAAATCATTTCTGGGAGAGTATCACAGACATTCAGATTAAAATAGCTAAGTAGCCATCAACTTGGGATAAACTTTATTTTTGTGTATATCTCTACTCCCTCCTGTGGTGCTGGCAATTGAACCCATGGCCTCATGGATGCTAAGCAAGCACTCTACTTTTTTGCTCTGACATTTCCTTTCTTATGTATTTGTTTTTGTATTTATTTCTGACTCCCTTTAGTATACTTTAATTTCCACAAGAATAAGGATTACTTTGTATACTGTCATAACTTCTACTTGGATCTTTGGTATAAAATTAGCATTCAAGCACTTATTAAGTGAGTGTACACATCAGTAAATATATTTATATATTTTCAGGTAATTCTTTTGTTATATTTGTATTTCTATTTATCTCTATGTGATTTGATATGAACATCTCATCACTGGCTGTTAGATGTAAGTAAAAGCAATGTGAATCCACAAAAAAGTCTCACACTTGTTTCTTTCTTAGTGCAATTACTTATGTAAATATGCATTTTACATATGAAATGTGCATTTGAAGGTGTGTTAATCCATGCTTCTGTCCTAACAACTTCAAGGAATATATACAGACCCATATATGACAGTGATACTTTTCTACTTCTCTTGAGGTAATACATCTAGGATGACACTGGTTGACAAATTATTTGTTGTTTTTTTTTTTTTATTCCAGTTGGTTAGACACAAATTCTCAACATCTTGTAGAAAGGGATTATGAATCGTCTTGTAAAATATGGAGTGGAAATGAAATGCTCTTAAGTTTGCACAGAATGGGCATCACCAGTGCTACTTTTCCTGTTTTGCAGGTATGGTCCTTTTACCTTCCCATGACATTCACTTAGTCAACTATAGGTTACTTAGTGATTAAAAACTATAATGCATCCACGAAAAAAAAATCAGAATTTTAAAAACATCTTAAAATTTGTTTTCGAAATTTATCGGCTGGGCATTTGATGGCGCATGCCTTTAATCCCAGCACTCGGGAGGCAGAGGCAGGCGGATCTCTGTGAGTTCGAGGCCAGCCTGGTATCCAGAGCAAGTTCCAGGACAGCCTCCAAAGCAATACAGAGAAATCCTGTCTCGAAAAACCAAAAAAAAAAAAAAAAAAAAAATCTTATCTAAATCTGATAATCCATTAAGTGGTAACACAAATAGATTATTATTTAGGTTGAAAAAAAATAAGACTTTAAAGGAGTTGTTCTTTATTTGCAGCTAAAAGAAACCAGTATTATTAGGTTGTGAATATTTTGTGTCAATTAGAATTTGTGTCAATTATAATTTCATATTTTGTGTACTGAATCAGAGACTGGAAGTTTGTGGAGAGGTGATTAGACCTTTAGAAACCTCATTGTGAATATCGCTTTTACACATTCTTCTGGATAGAGATTCCATACTTTTTTCATAGTTCCTTCTTTAGCAGGAGGGATAAGGATGGTTTGTTCTTTGTTGTTGTTTTTCCTATTTAATTATTGTTAGGAGCCGTTTTCCCACTGTACCATTTGACCCTCATCTAAAACCTAGGCAAGTACTGACCTTTGACTTCATAGTCTTGTCATTTCTAAAATGCCATGTAATTGGAATCATACTGTATGTAGTCTTTCCTGTAGCAATATGTGGTTAAGTTTCTTCCATGTAGAGTGTGTATGATGCACAGAACCAGGCCCACCCACATCAGTCACTAATCAAGAAAATGTATACCACTGGCTTGCCTGCCAGCAACCTGATGGAGGCCGTTTTCTCAGTGAAAATCCCTCAAAAAACAACCAGTGTATTTGCTGAGATGTTTTTGTATCTTTTGCTCACGCTTCAATTTTTGTCACGTTTTAGGAGTTTTTTTTGTGTGTGTATTTTGAATACAAATGCTTCATTAGATGTTTCCAATTATATTTTCCCAGTCTGTGACTTGCTTTTTCATTTCATTGACAGTATCGTACACAGAGCAGAAGGTTTTAATTTTTAATAACTATTATCTTACCTCTTATTTTCCTCTCATGAGTTATGTGTTAGGTTTTATATCTAAGAACTCATCACCAACTCCACAGTCGTCTAGATTGCCTGCTGTGTTTTGGAAGTTTTATGGTTTCCCATTTACCTTAGGTGATCCATTTTGAGTTATTATTTGGAATCTAGTTAGTGTGATGTGCAGTTTACCCGTCACCACATCTGGAAAGGGTTTCCCTTCTCCTTTGGATTATCTCTTTCTTTGTTGGAGATATCTCTGTATTTGTGTGGGTTGTTTCTGAGACTTCTGTTGTGTTCCACTTATATGTCTGCTGCTTCCTTTGTAAATACTACGTTGTTTGAACTATTTTAACTTTGTAATATTGTGTGGGCTGTTCTAGAATTCTTGCTTGTCCATATACACTTTAGGATTAGTTTGTCAAGTATCCACAAACTTATTTACTGGGGTTTGTTTGTGATTGCATTGAATCTATAAGTCAATTTGAGCAGCAACTGATATCTTAACAATATTCTGTTTTCTTGGGGTAGGGTGAGTTGTATATATATAATGGGCTAAACCCAGAATAGGGATGTCAGAAAGGGTCCTTTTTTGTTGTTCAAGATTTATTTATGTACTTATTTTTGGCATGAGTGTTTATCTGTGTGTATGTATATGGCATACCTGTTGCCTGGGTAGTGAGACGAGGGCATCAGCTACAGACAGTTGTGAGTTGCCAAATGAGTGCTGGGAGCTGAACCCAGGTCCTCTAGAAGAGCAGCCAATGCTCTTAATCACTGAGCCATCCTTCCAGCCATGTTTTTTGTTTTGTTTTTTCCTTCTTCTTCTTAAGACTAAATAATATTGAATAATATTGTATATTGTTTCTGCTTTTCTTGGAGATAAGGTTGTACTTGTGTAATATAATCTGGCCTTGAACTTGCTATATACCCAATGTTGACCCTGAACGTTTTAGCTTCCTGCCTTTACCTTCCAGGTGCTAGGAGTACAAGCATGTGCTACCACATCCAGTTTATTTGTGTTTTCTTCATTCCATTCATCACTGATTTTTTTTTGTTTGTTTTGTGTAAGATTTATTTATTGATTATGTATAGTATTCTGCCTGCATGCCAGAAGAGGGCACCAGATTTCATTATAGATGTTTTTGAGCCACCATGTGGTTGCTGGGAATTGAACTCAGGACCTCAGGAAGACCACACAGCCTGTGCTCTTAACCTCCAAACCATCTCTCCTGCCCACTAACTGTGTCTTACTTTTCCTCCTGGGAAGATTTGTAGACCAAGAGATTCTTTCTCGAGGCAAGAATAAAATGGATGATAGAAACTATGCTTACTCTTCAATACATCTGCTTTTGAATTTTTATTTTCTTATTTTACTTTTCCCTTAAATAATTTAAATTTTACTTATCAGGCCTGGGATATGTCTCAATAAAGTACCTGCCTAGTTTGTTGTTGTTTTGTTTTTTCTAGACAGAATGTCTCAGCCCAATCTATCCTGGAACTTGATTTGTAGAACAAGCTGGCTTCAAACTCACAGATATCCACCTGTTTCTGCCTCCCTAGTGCTGGGATTAAAGGCGTGCAGCACTACACCTGGCCCTACCCAGTATTCTTAAGTACCTGGATTTATCCACCAAAACAACAGCAACAAAAATGGTAGTCTCATTACCAGAGTTGTTCCTATATATAATTCAGGCATTTAGGGAAACATAAACACTATTAAAAGTCAATTGGATTTTTTTTTTTTTAAGTTTAGTTCATTGCTTCTAAAAGGTACTACATACTACACTAGTTGCCAGAAGAAGTTATCCTCCTAAATATCTTTATTGAAGCATCCTATTATTAAAGTGTCTTTGACTCAGAGGAGTATTTGCTAACATGAAGATCCAAACTCCATTGCTGGGCTTGGGTTTAGGTTAGTTATAGAATGAATACCTAGTATGCATGAAGCCCAAGCTCCATCCTAGCCATTGTGGTAGATAAAAGGGCAAAAATAGAAATGCAAAATGATTTGTGTTTCTGCATTCATGCATACCAGCCTTATTTTGTATTTATACTTTGCAAAGGGTTTTCCTTCTCTTGCCTTCTCCACCTCCTTCATGAATAATATGGTAATTTCTTACAGAGACATTTTTCAGCTGTTCTTCAAAAAGAGGAAAAAGCCTATGGCAAAGAGGAAGCAATACAAGTACCTATTATTAGTGCTTCAACTCAAATAATGCTCAAAGGACTCTTTATGGTGTTAGACTATCTCTTCAGAGAAAATAGCAGGTAAGTGAAGATGCCTGTTTTGTTGGCTTTTTTACTGTTTAGTTTTCATTTTAGCCTATGGGTCAGCAAGATGGCTCAGCCAGTATGGGTGCTTTTTGAACAAGCCTGGCATCCCCAGAGCCACATAAAGGTGAAAGGAGAGAACCAACTCTACAAGGCTGTCTTCTGACCTCCAAATGCATGTTGTAGTACTTATGCACACTCATGGTGTGTGCCATGCATGCACACACACAGTAATAAGTGAAATTTTAAAACATCACCCTAATGAATGCTCTTTTTACTATAGTAGGAGAATATTAAGTGTTACAGCTATATAGATGTATAGATGTATAGATTGTTCTTATTGACACAGACTCAGGTCCATTGAAATGAGTCTTTTTCTCATTAATGAAAATAAATATTGAAATCAGTAAGTAAGTGCATTTAATTAACTCTTTGACTTTTGGTCCTCCTGTGCTAAGTTTAAGAATCTTCATTTTCTTGTAAGTATAATTTTGGTCTGTGTCTGTCAGTATTTGAAAGTCTCTTTCTTTGTATGCTTTGTTTATTTTTATTTTTGTCCATGTATTCCAGGCTAGCCTCAAACTCACTACACAGAAGAGGATGGCCTTGAACTCCTTTCTTTGTTGTTTTGTTTTCAAGGCAACTCTAACTGTCCTGGAACTTGCTTTGTAGACCAGGCTAGCCTTGAACTCACAAAGGCCCTGCCTGCCTCTGCCTCCCAATTGCTGAGGTTAAAGTTTGCTGTCTCTGCCTGGCTCAACCTTGAACTCTTGGTCCCCCTGCCTTCACCTCCCCAGTGCTGGGATCACAGGCCTGTGTCACTGTGCCCAGCTTGTAGTTATAGTTCTACCAGCTTCCAGGATTTTTGAGTGTTAAAATTATATTACCATGTCAAGCATACATGAAACTACCATCTTAACCAGTACCATGAGCACTGCTGTAGGGTGCAGTCATCCCCACCATTCATTTTCAGGAAGTTTTATCGTTCCAGGCAAGGATTTTACACATATAAAGCAATTGCTCTCCTTGTTACCGTTCCTAGTAATTTCTCCTTTCAGTTTGTTCTTTCTTGTTACTTCAGACATAAGCAGGCATTCAATGTTTGCCTCTTTAAGGTTTTACTTACTTCATTTAGTATCTTTTTTTTTTTTAAGTAATAGTCCTCTTAATGGGTATGAAGTGATTCTTCCTCATGGTTTTGATGTGTGTTTCCTGGTGACTAATGCTCCTTTGACTCTGTGTACCTGTTGGTCAATTGTGTGTCTTCTTTGTAGAAATAATCTACTTAAAGTCTACTGTCCATTTTCAGTTGACTTGATTCTTTTACTTGTTGATTGTAGATATTCACATAATTGGGATATTAATCCTCTGTCAGACAGAAAGATGCTTTACAGGTCATTTTTACTGTGTTGGGGTTGTCTTTTCACATCTTGACCGTGTCATTTTTTTTAACCTAAGAACATTTTTGTTTTGTTCTGGTTTGGTTTTGGAGGGGTTTGGTCTCACTGTGTAGTCAAGGCTTTCTTAACACTTTTGGTTGTCCTGCCTTAGCCTCCTGAGTGCTGGGATTATATATGTGAGCCGCCCAGTTGAGTAAAATGTTTTTAGTTATGAAGTCTGATTTATTTATCTTCTCTCTTTTTAAATGTACCTTAGAGTTTTATAGTTTTGGGATTTATCTTTTTTATTATTATTATTAAATTCTCTTCATAATTACGGAGTCTTGACTTGAACTTAGAGATCTGCTCTCTCCAAAGGTGAAATTGGGGGTGAAATGTCATGAGAGCATAGTTGAGAATGCTACATTTTACCCTGAGTAAGCCTAGGCATTTTATAGATTCTTAGTGGTACAGATTGGGATGGGATCATTTGTGTTGATTCAGTAACCTCATAAAAAGAAACTCAAGATGAAGACCCAAATTTTAACTTGAAATTTTTATAATTCAGGTCAGTAAGATGGCTTAGCAGGTAAAGGTGCTTGCCATCAAGACTAAGGACCCAACTTTGATCTCTGAAACCACCATAGCACTGACTGGCTCTTGCAAGTTGTCCACTGACCTCGATATGAATGTCCAGGCATGCACACACCCTGGAACAGGCATGTCCCCACACATACACAAATCAAATGAAAAAGTTTTTTAAATTTCATAATTTTAATTGCTAACACTTTTATAACTTTCCTTAAAATTACCTATTTACTCACACAGTATAAAGCATAACTTGTCCTTGACTTTAACCATAATTTAGGTTTTCTACTTAATAACTGTGACAGTTAAGTAATATAAGGTTCAAAGGCTTGAGTTGGGAGTTAGAAGGCATGAAGTGAGTTCTGGTTCTGCCATGGCTTATGTCATGTTTAAAGTGAAATTTGAAAGTGGCTAATGAGATTAGCCAGTTAGATAATTTAATATTTCTTGTAAGAATTTATTGAGTTCTGTGATTTTATAATTTACATTAGAATTACTGACTTTAGTGATGGGGGCTGCATTTCCTTTGTGTGGGAAGGCATAGCAGGCTGTTTTACAACTATCAGGTTTGATAGTATGTAGCTTGACCATTGTTTTATAATGCTTTGTCATTCAATTAGCATTGTATTTGCATTTAGATTTGCAGATGATTATAAAATTGCCATTCAACAAACTTACTCGTGGACAAATCAGATTGCTATTCTTGATAAAAATGGGGTCTTGGCCCTACCAAAAAATAAGAAGCATTCACGACAGAAAATTGGAGTTAATTCGCTAAACTTTTGGTGCTTAAATCCAGCTGTGGTAAGCTCACTCTAGTGCAAACTTACCTTGACCAGAACCAACAATTTAGTGACTGTACTTGTCTCTTTAAAAAAATGATCTCATTTTTTTCCATGTTTCCGTGTAGGCCTTTTCAGATATTAATGACAAAGTACGAACCATTGTTCTAACATCAGGGACACTGTCACCTCTGAAATCCTTTTCATCTGAGCTTGGAGTTACATTTAACATCCAACTAGAGGCTAACCATGTCATCAGTAACTCACAGGTGAGTTCTCTGCTTGATTTTGTTGAAGCTCTCAGTCCTTTCACCGAGTATAATTTGGTTGGAAGGAAACCCTGATGCTACCCTGGCAGCTCTGTCACTCTGGACTCAATGACTACTGAAAATCCCTCATCTGAGGAAGTTTTAGTTTCTCTATGAAATCTAAAAACAAGAGAATATTCACTTTTCTACTATAGTTCCTATTTGTTATATTTATTTCGTTTTTCCCATTAGACTGTAGAATATTCTTATTTTATTTACTCATATTTAAAATTGGTGTTTGGTGTACCTTCACGAGCATATGTGTACTGGGTTCATGCAGATGCCTGCATGGGCCAGAAGAGGCATCCCTAGAACTGAAGGTGCAAGCATTTGTGAACCAGGTGATGTGGGTTATGAGAACCAAAGTCTTCTGTAAGAACAGTACACATTCTTAATCAATGAACCATCTCTCCATCACCTTTTTGTTTTCTTTAGACAGTGTCTTTTATGGTTCAGGTTATAGTCAAGGATGACTTTAAACTCCTGATCTTCCAGCCACTGCTGTTGTAATTTAAGAAAAGTGGCTCAAGAGAGAAAGATAGGGTTCAAGCAGAGGGTTTGTTGTTGTTTGTTTGTTTGTTTGTTTGTTTTATTAGGGAAAGGGATCATAAAAGGGGGAGAGAGGAGTGGAGGAAACTGGCCTCCGGAGACAGGAGCAACAGGAAAGGGAAGAAGGGGGGGGGGTGACAGAGAGAGGTAGAGAAAGAGAAGGATGGGAGCTGGGCAGGGACCTTTTAAAGAGGAACAGTGAATGTGCACAGGTGGTGCTCTTAGTGGCTGCAGCTAAAGGCGTATCCTGTCAGAACCCCAAGGCCAGGCCAGTACAGGTGCCTGAATACTAACAACCACCTTTCAGATGCTGAGCTTGTAGGTATGCGCCTGGCTCTGTTTCTTTTTATGATGTAATTTAAAGTAGTCATCTCTCTCTCTCTCTCTCTCTCTCTCTCTCTCTCTCTCTCTCTCTCTCTCTCTCTCTCTGTCTTTCGAGACAGGATTTCTCTGTATTGCTTTGGAGCCTTTGCAGTAGAACCATGATACAAACCTGGTACATGAGCTAGCTTATTGGAGTCCATTCCTTAGGGTGGGATGCTATGCTCAGTGGCAGTAGGGACCACAATATAATCCTGGGACATGAGGTAGCTTGTTGGAACCCATTCCCTATGGTGGGATGCCATGCTCAGCATTAATGCATGGTAGAGGAGTGTGGCCCCAATGTATTGTTTCAGACTTTTTTTGACTCCTAGTGCCAGGAGCCCCTCAGCTAGTTCAAGCTTCACAACTGTCTCCCACATATGGAGGGCCTAGTTGGGTCTCCACATTTGTAGGTTTAGAGTTCATGAGATTCCATGAGTGTGGTTCAGCTGTCTCTGTAGATTTCTCCATCACCATCTTGACCTTCCTTGCTCATATATTATCTTCTCCCTCTCCTCAACTGGATTCCCAGAGCTTGGCCTGATTCTTGATTGTGGATCTCTGCATCTGATTCCATCATTTACTGGATGAGGGCTCTATGATGATAGTTGGGGTATTCATCAATCTGATTACAGGGGTAGGCCAGTTCAGGCATCATCTCTACTATTGCTAGGAGTCTTAGCTGGGACCCTCCTTGTGAATTCTTGGGAGTTACCCTAGCATCAGGTTTCCCCCCTAAGCTCATAGTGGCTCTCTCTATTAAGATATCTCTTTCATTGTTCTTCTACTGAATCCCTCCCTGCCTCGGCCATCTTGTTCTCTCCCGCTCTTCTCTCCTCCTTCCTACCTTCCCTCCCCCTAAAGCCCCCATCCTCACCCCCCAGTTTGACCCATAGATCTCATCTAATTCCCCTTCTTAGGGTCCTCCTTGTTACCTAGCTTCTCTGGAGCTGTGAATTGTAGTCTGGTTATCCTTTGCTTTACATCTGATATCCACTTATGAGTGAATACATACCATGTTTGTCTTTCTAGTGAGTTACCTCACTCAGGATGGTTTTTTCTAGTTCCATCTATACTGGGTTTTTTGTTTGTTTGTTTGTTTTTAAATTTTATGTACTTGAGTGTTTTGCCTGGATGTGTAAATACCATGTGCCTGTAGAGGACAAAAGAGTCCCTGGAACTGGAGTTGCCGATGGTTAGATGTTTGTAGTTACTGTGAGGATCACAATATTTTCCAAGAGTTATAATAATTTGATTTTGAAAGGTGCATTCTATTCACTTAACTAAAGATATTAAAGAAGATATCTAGTTTCAAAATAAATTTCTGCTAAGTTATTTTGTTCATCTAAATCACTCCCGACTAAATATTAATTTTCCTGCTTTATTTTGGCATAACTCTAATACTAAGATATTTATTTCTAGGTTTGGGTTGGTACTGTTGGCTCAGGCCCTCAAGGTCGGAATCTCTGTGCTACCTTCCAGCATACCGAAACATTTGAGTTCCAGGATGAAGTGGGAATGCTTTTGTTATCTGTGTGCCAGACTGTGAGCCAAGGAATTTTGTGTTTTTTGCCATCTTACAAGGTAAGGAGTTTTTTACTTTTTTCTTTTCTTTCTTTCTTTTTTTTTTTGCCTCTGAAAAAGATATAGGATTACCATGAGAAACAAGGTAATTATGATTCTTGCAGTATCATGTTATTTGATGATGGTTGCCTGGAGGTTCTGCCCAAGCACATAAAGCCAGGCAACCTCTGAAACCAGGAGCTTAAAGAAATCTTCCTCATTTTAAATTCTCTCAGGTAGTTTAGCCATAGCTTCATTAAAAAAAAAAAAAAAAAAAAAAAAAAGCTAACATAGAAAAGTGGTATCAGAGAACCAGGTAATTGATTTGCCTGAATCTGATCATGTGAGTCTTCATCCTCTGAAGTTGTTTTGTAGGAGACATTTGGAAGCAGCTCAATGAACAGTTCCGGTGGGGGCTCAGAAGACCAGAATGCCTAACTAGAAATAGAGACAGTGATGGGAATTGGACTAGAGCTGAGGCTTTTGTCTGACTGTGACAGTAATGGAGAAATGAATTTGGTAGAGAAATTTCAAGACAGAATTGCTTTCAGGCTCTGGCATTTTATTCTTGGAAGCTTTGCAATGAGAGGCTTACAGTGTAGACTGGGGGCAGAAAGTGTAGTTGAAAGTTGAAAAATGCTCAGTTCAGTCAGAAAATGAGCACATTTAAATTCATGGAAAGAAAGACTCTTGATTCCCACGTAAACCAGGCTAAAATTAGCTAGGTTCTAGGAAGTAGAAATTTCAACCCATCTGAAAAACTTGGTCTTTAGAAGACAGCACTGCTCAAGAAAGGGTGCCTGAGAAAGTGTCTTCTCTGCCACACAACCTCTCAGAGCCCACTGCTCTCATGGTCAGCTGGCAGCAGACCATGGCTACATTTACTGATTTGATGTTCATTTTGTAGGCACAAGAAATGCAAGGCTGCATTGTCATGAATCCTTCCATGCTTGGGTGTTTTTTGTTTGTGATTGTTTTTGTTTTCTTGTGGCGCTGGTAATTGTACCCAGAGACTTTGTGTATGCTATGCAAGTAGTTGTTCACTGAAGCCCCACTACATCCTTTGAGACAGGTTCTTGACCAAGTTGGCCTTGAACTTGTGATTCTCTTGACTTTGCTTCCCAGATGCTAAGATTACAGGCATGAGCTGCCACATCTGGCCTCTTCCACCTACCTGTCTTTTCAAAATAAGTTCTGGGAAGTAAGGCAGATGTGAACAGAGTTGCATCCCTTGGGCAGTCTCTGAGGAGGAGATGTGTGCAGATAAGAGTGTAAAGTCTGAGCTACAGTGGAAACCCCAAGATGTTTGAGGAGACTCAAAGAACAACACTTGCCAAAGATAGCCAGTCACATGGGTAGAACCAGCCAAGCCAGAGGCCATGTGGGCTGCAGACAGCGGGACCATCAGATTGGAGTTGCCTAAAGCCTTTGGAGCTGGCATCATTGTGTCCCAGGTATAGGACATGGAAATTTAACATTTCTGTTCTGTCTGAGTTACATCCTTTCTTTTGATGTCTAAATTCCTCCCATTTGTAGTATGAATTGTAACTCATGGTTGTGTATGTTGACAGTTTTTACTTGGTTTTTACAATTTTTGTAGGTGCTTATAGCTAAGATTGCCTGACTATTAGGGGAAACTTTGAATTTGAATTTTTGAACAATGTTGAAACTGTTAAGACTGTAGTCCCTTAGGGGTGAACTAATTGCATTTTGTGTTATGACATGGCTATGAGTATTGGAGAAATAGGAGTGGAATGTTATTATCCTAAAGTGAAATTACCCCCTAAGGGCACATGTTTTGGACACTTGGTCTCCAGTTGGAGATGCAATTGAAGGTTTTTAAAACATTAGGAGGTGAGGCCTAGTAGGCCTCTCCCTGTCTCTTGTTTCCTTTTAGCCCCCATGGCACACATTCCTCTTGCTGTGATGTTCTGCCCAAGTGCATGAGGCCAAGCAGGCATGGATTAAACCCTCCAAAACTATGAACTATAAGCCAAAGTAATTCTCTCTCTCTCTCTCTCTCTCTCTCTCTCTCTCTCTCTCTCTCTCTCTCTCTCTCTCACCACACACACACACACACACACACACACACACACACACACACACACTTTAGCTATCTATTTTGAACAAAGAAACTAACAGATTTTTTTTTTTTTAAAGTTCTTTTACAGTGGGGTATCTGGGCACATGCCTTTAGTCTCAGCTCTTAGGAGGCAAAGGCAGGCGGATCTCTGAGTTCAAGGACAGCCAGGGCTACACAGAGAAACCCTGTCTTGGGAAGAAAAAAAGGGGGGATTATTTTTGTATAAGTTCCAACCATATAATTCACTCCTTTGAAGTAAGAACTCAGGGCTGGAGAGGTAGTTTAATGGTTAAGAGTGCCTACTGCTCTCTTAAAAGACCTGTCCTCCATTCCCAGCACCAATGGCACGAGAATATGATGCTCTCTGGTCTGCAGACACTTGGTGAATGTAGTGCACATAAACTCATGCAGACACAAACATGTTATGCCAAGATCTCGGGACCCCAAAAAATCCACCACTGAGGAGGTGACTTACTGAATGCAAGAACAAAGGTTTCTTTATTGGCAAGCTGCAGCAAGGATTCTGCCCGCTCGGGAGCAAGCAGAATACAGCTTACAGCTGGGGGTGGGAAAGTCTAAAAGATTGAAAGTCTGGAGATTACAAAGCTTCTGTGGTTGCATAGGATAAAACAATAACTGTATTTTTAGGGAGGATACAATTCAGCAGGATATTGTAGGGGAAATAAGTTTGCTAATTATCTCCTGAGCCAGGGATGACTTTTTTTTTTTTTTAAGATTTATTTATTTATTATACATACATAGTTTCTCCTGCATGTATCCCTGCAGGCCAGAAGAGAGCACCAGATCTCATTACAGATGGTTGTGAGCCAGGTGCTAGGAATTGAACTCAGGACCTCTGGAAGAGTAGCCAGTGTTCCTAACCTCTGAGCCATCTCTCCAGTCCCAGGCCAGGGATTTTTACAACTGTGAGTTGATGGCTATCTGGTCTTTAGGACAGAGAAATGTTGATACAGCTAGGGTATGTTACCTGGTCTCAGGCCTCTGTTACTACCCAATCCTTTGTTTAGCCTTATCTGTCAGGCTGCCCTTAAGGGTTCAGAGGAGATTGTAAGTTTTCTTTTTCCTATATGGGCTTTGAAGTCTCTGTTTTTTTAGACTTTTATTAATTTTTCCTATTTCACATGTTGCCCTAGAAATAAATAAATAAGAAAACCTTTGAGGGTAGAGATATGTGTCTCAGTGATTGAGAGCACCTATTGCTCTTGCAGAGGACTGTGTTCAGCTTCCAGCACCCACAAGGTAACTTACATTTGTAACTCTAGTTCCACAAGATCCGATGCCTTCTGACCTCTATGAACATCAGACACTCGGTTCATAGATATATATGCAGGGGAAACACTCATACATAAAAAATAAATCTGAAAAATAAAGCGTAGAACTCAGTAGTTACTCATACATTCACAAAATTGTGAGTAATCATGACTATCTAATCACAAAATATTTTTTTCTCACTACAAAAGGAAATTCCTTACAATCATTAATAGTCACTATCTAGCTCCACCTCCTATCCTCTGTAAACACTTTCCTAGTTTCTGCTTTTACAGGGCCTGCCTCCTTTGGCATTCCCATATAACTGAAATTATGTAGCAAGGGACCTTTTGTGTTTGGATTCTTGGCTTAGCGTGTTTGCAGAGTTCTTTGTGGTAGAATGTCAATGTGTTTTTTAATGGCTGGACAATACTTTGTACTTTAAGGGTTGTGGCTTTAGCACAGTAGAGAACTCGCCTAGTTCAGTGTATTTGTATTTTGAATGTTAAGTGTACCATTTGTAAACAATATATAGTTGTTTCTTTTTTAAATCCAATTCTCCTGGTCTGTATTTTTACAGGAACGTTTATTTGGTTTACGTGCAATGCAATTACTAATGGGGCATCGATAATGAACACTGTTTGCTGTTTGTTTTCTTTGTGTCTGATGTTTCTTTCCCTTCTGTGCTAACTGGGTGTTTTCTAGTGTGCCAGGTAAAATTTTCTAATGTACCATTTTGATTCCCTTGGCCTGTTTCTTCATTTATCTAAGACTTATTCTCCCTCTGTAGTTCTGGCCAATTGGAACTGTATATGTAGACTTGTCTGGCCTTGGGGCAGTCCTCTGCCTCAGCTTTCCAGATGCTGGGGTAACAGACATGTACCCATGTTAAAACCCTTGGGGGGTGTATGTGCTAATTTATTTTCAGTAATATGCAAAACTTTGATTCTTCTAGCTTTGTCCCTCTTGCTTTACTGTTATAGAAATCAGGAGAAGAGTTACAGACACTAACTTACACTGCCTTTTAAGTTTACTTAAGTAATTATCTATGCCAGTGCTTTTAAATTCTTTTTGGTATTTCAAGACAGGTCTCATTATGTAGCCCTGGCTGCCCTAGAGTTTTCTATATAGGCCAGGCTGACTTCAAATTCTGAGAGATCTACCTATCTCTGCCTCCTGAGTGCTAGGATTAAAGGTGTGTGCCACCATGCCCAGCAGCTTTTCAATTCTTAATGTGGCCTTGAGTTACTCTGTAAAGTTACCTGATCCAGGATTTCAAATGTGCTATGCACTCCCAGGAAACTACGCTTCCCCTGTCCTAGATTCTGAGAGTCAGTCTAGGGCTGTCATTCCGGGCTGTTACACTGGAGTCCTGCTGCAGTGGTAGGTGTAGGGGAAGAAAGTTAGGGAGGGGAGCGTCATCTGACCTTCCATGGTGTCATCTTTTAGTGGCACTGTTCCAGCACTGTGACCTTCCAAGTGCTTTCAGTTCTTCACTGGTCTCATTAGATGAGACAGGCGTCTGGAGGGACCTGGATTTTAGGTAATTTTCCCTCCTGTATGTGGGATGAAGCTCTTATAAAGTCTCTCTTAGTAGTGTACTGGCCTTAGTTATGGGAGATGCTTGGAGCCTACTTTAAAATGGTTACTCTCCCATCTTCTTGTCAAG